TCAGCAGGATTTGGATCAAGAACCTCAATCAGGAACAAGTGTCTGTACAATCAGTGGCCATTTAAGAGTGTTGATACGTGACTTAAAATAAAAAGGTGATGCATTTGAGTTACATACTGATCAACAGCTATGGAGCCTTTTATGTTCTGGCCTTTTAGATACTTCAGGATATAATTGCCCTTGCTGGATTTGGACAGGATGAAAAAACGCCTTTTCCAGGAATTCTGCCAAAGAGAAAGAAATTTGTCTCCCATTAAAATTCAGGATAGCAGAAGTAACAGATGTTTTTTGAGGGATTGCTGGAAAATGACTAATTTGTGCTACTATACCTGTGAGCCGAAAAGTTGAGGAGGTGGTGATTTGATGAGGAATCCATGCTTGCAGGCTCCACCTTCAGGGCAAAACCTATCCTGAGTTCTCACTAATCAAAGAGAAATGAACGGCACCATCACTTAATTTGTTGCCAATTAATCTCTTACAAAGACCTGCTCGAACTAGAAATTGTTTCCGAGCACTGGGTTTCTATGCTTAAATGGCCATAAAGCACATTAGAATTACAGAAGGAAAACACAAGTTAAGGCTATAAAATATAGGGCCAGGCCATGCTTTCATGATGTTACTGCTAACAGCTGGCCCAAACTGTAAAAACATTAGTAACAAAGTAGGGGGCTTGGAAGATATTGTGAGCCTCTATCATATTTAACTGGTCTTATTTAACTTCTGGAGCCTGCTCTCATTTAACTTCACAATTAGTGATCTGAAAGACAGTAAACAGCTCCCTAATGCAATTTGTAGATGGTATTCAATTTGGATAGGTTGCAAACACAGCTAACAATAGATTATCCTACACCGTGAATCATGATGTGACCACAGAACAAAGTCCTACAAGTAAAACATGAACTAAAGCCTTGGGGGAAAAAATGCCTGCATGTATTTGTTTACGACTCTGCATATTCTCTGGCCAGCTGTAGTTTAAGATTCATATTTTCTAATTATTGGTGGATTTCTGATCAAAATCTCAGTTGTATTAATGCACTTTAATACCCGATGAAAGGAGTGACAATCATCTCATTCAACTTTTTAAGCTATAAACTGTGTATGGCAAATTAATATTTTTTAAGAATCCAGTGACTGAAAGGAGCACAGTCAACCTCATTTTGGATCTTACAGTAATGGACAGTAGAGAGTATACAAACGTTCTGGGAAATATAACATGACCAAACTTTGTGGTGATGCAAGAAATGCTTGATTCTGAAAGCCCATTTACTACTGACTTCAGAGGATGTCAGGCTTCATCATCAGTGCCTCGGAGATACTGACTGTATCTTCCAGTTCCCAGTTAATATTTAAGGATTTTAATGTTTTTTACAAATGTCAGTTCAACCTCTGTGTTAAGGACAAGAAAAATTCTGCTATAAAGGGAAATGCTGCAGTTAGGACAGATTCTTTAAGGAATGAAGCAGAGGGGCAGAATTAACATACAACGTAAGTCCAGAGGAGATCGCCAAATATTTCAGTATGCTATTTTCCCCTGTTTTTCACCTATTGTTTACCACAGAATCCTTGGCAGGTGGGAGGCAAAGAGAATGGTATCATATATTGATCAGAATGGATTAAAACCTTGTTCAACTACTGACAAATCTTAGTAAATGCAATTTTGTACCTGCAGAATTTCTTTCGCTTGTAGAAGCCATCCGGATTGTTTTTTCCACCCAGATAGTAAAGAGAGCAAAAACCTTGAAGCTAATTCCTTTCACTTTGTTTGCTGCTGAGCAGCATTTCACTGCACGCACAGAGGCCTGAGAAAATAACAAATATCTCACAAGTGTTTATTTTCATAGTGATGGTTAAACTGTATAAAATAAACATAGAAAAATCTATTAAAAACTATATAAATAATTGTAATTACTCATTTAAGCATACTATTATACATCATAATATTTTATATAATAAGGTAAATTATACATTATATGCTATAATATTGTAATTATTCTGATATAATTATAAAATTACAATTAATAACAATTATACATTCATACAGGGCAAAGAGATGATTTGCCTAGGAAGTGGTGAGATCTGCCAACAGAACTTAATTTTGCCCCTTCCTTTGCACTAGACACAATACCTGTAACCCAGGAATATTGCATCCCATATATGTTTCTTACACTGCCTTGGCAGTGTGATCAGCTCTGTATAAAATAGGCATAGCTTGGCCTAAAAAGTTTAAAATCTATTTAGAAAATCTAGTCATAATACCATGGTAATCATAATAATTTGCAAGTCTGTAGCATTCTTAATACAGTGCCCTCAGAGCAATTTATAAACAGTGATGAAATAAACTTCATGGCTTTCTAAGTATTATTAGTATTGGATCTAATTACTGGATTAGTATTATGATTTTTCAGAGAGGTAAACAGAGAATATCTGGTTTTATTTACATCAACTTATTTTTGCAATGTCTCCTACAATATTACCAGGGAAATGGGAATCTCACTGTAAACCTGAGGAGTTAAATAACCTGCTTATTGCATAGCTGGGCTGTGGCAGGGATGGGAATAGAGGCTGGCAGGGAGGCAGAATGTGCCGACGCATTTCCATGGACCTCTCCGAAGTTTTGTTAAATAACCTTTTAACAAAACATGCAGGCAGCACTCTGTGGGATTTGATAAGTGCAGGAACACAGAGATGGAGCATTGAGAAGGTAAAAGGTGGGTTTGGTTAATGGGATTCCATTGGGGTGTTTTCTGAGCTAATTTGCCTTTCGGTGCTTTCCTTCGAGAACACGACCATTGGGTGTCTGGATAAGAACCAGATCTCCAAAGCACTGCAATTTCCTTGCAATTTGTATGTGAGTTCTGCACTCCTCCCAGTCGATTGCATGCACGGCACTACCTTTTGCACACTGGACAGGTTTTTATTAATTCACAATTGCTTTCTTCTTTATTTAAAATCAGATCTAGTTTCTCTCACGTACATTTCCAATTTGTAACACCACGTCTGTATGCAACATCATTTAGGAAGCTTTTCAAAAGTTTCCCTTTGCCTTACCCCAAAGCTCCCATTCCTTGCAAAATCAAATCCTTTCCTTTTAGTAACTTGACTTGAAGTTGTCTGTTAGCTACAACGAGGTTACAGAGTCTCCAACATGTGTGCCACCTGAAGCTGCAGAGCCTGTTCTGGGGAAATCTGAAGGGTTGCAAATGCTGTTCTCTAGTTCTTTGCTGAGCTGCAAATGAGAATGACCCACTGCAAATGAGAATGACCCACTGCAAACCTAGGTCCACTGGAGATCTCTGCAGAGCATTTCTGCCTGGTGGGGGTTTTTTTGGTGGTTTGTTTTTTGGTTTTTTTTTTTAAGGAAACCTTTGTGATTTTGCCTTTTTGGGAGAAAGATTTGTTGTACAAATGCTGTGACAGACTGTTATAAAATTCACTGCTAAGGTTTTCATCTATCACCTACCAAAAAAAAAGGACAAAAAAGCAACTTCCAGAACTAAAAATGACTGCACGGAAAGTCAAATTGTTAGTGTCAATAGCAGGGGCACACGCCTGGGGTTGCAATGAAAGGCAATGTAATGTTCTTTTCAACGTGACTGACAGAGTCTCTGTGACTAGCAAACAATGCAATTCTTGTAAAACAATGTTCCAAGAGCCTACGACAGGACAAAAGTCTTTTCTGGGTTTCAGTAAAAGTCAAGATTTGCAGGTGGGAAGACAAAATCCCATGAGATTACAGTTGGGCTACCTCACTCTGTACTTTGGGAAGAAGTTTTCAATTGTTGTGTTTAATTGTCTTTTCAATTGAAAGCAACATTTTAAACAGGTTATGTCTAATTCAGAATAGACAATGCCAAATTCCATTATTATACCCCCTCAGATTTTTGTATGCCTGGCATTAAGAGATTTGATTGCTTTCATCCTTTTGAAATGCAATGAGGCACTTCAGTCAAAATGCAAATAAAATGCTGCAAATGATTAAGATGAAGGCTATAAACTTCAAAAATATAATGCCAAGATAAGGAAAACAAACTGTGTTAATACTTACAGGCAAAATGTCTTCATGGTGTAGAAGGTCTTAGAGAAATACACCTTCAAGGATTTCCAGATTCCTTGTATTGCCTCCAGCAGCAAAACAGAGTATGTCCTTGCCCTGCATTGTGACTGCCGCCTTACAGTCCGTGTATAAATACAAACACCCTGAAATATGACCCACAAGGAAATTCCTACTTCTGCCACAAAACACGTATGAAAGACTGTTCTGAAAGGGGAAATCCAGAAGACTAATACTCACTTACAAGCAATGAAAAGAATAGGCAGTCTTGAGGCAGCCATAAATGTCTTGCATGCAGAAAAAAGCCTGGAAACAGCTTTTGTTGGTTCAGCTTTCTAAAGAGTCCCTTCATTTCCCCTGAGCTAAAATGTAATATCCACTCATGACTGGAAGATAAAGCAACATTAAGAACCGTAAAAGATTGTAAAGTATCATAAAATGTAACCAAGTTCAGATTTAAAGAACAGCATTCACTAAAACATACCATGGTGAAGCAGGATTTCTTACACTACCTATGTAATGGCAAGTACTTTCATTGTAGGGTCCGTGTCTGTCTTGGTTATAGTTGAATTTTTTGGATCCTCTCCAGAAACATCCAGCATATCATTAATGATAATGATTTTACACACTAAACCATTTGACCAATCCTGCAGACGGCAAGGGAATTGCTTTTAGACAGAAAATAGGTATAAATTTGATCAGGAAATAAGCTGAAATGCCCTACAGCTTGTAAGTCACTCTTCAGCTACCCGGCCTTGTTCAGGTGAAGGGGTCAGGCTTCCGAGTTCTGAATGGGATCCTGCTGGCACAGCCTTCCGAATGCAAACGTCACCAGTCAAACACGATGTCTGTCGGGGGGGAAATTTTCTTCTTAAATACTACTAATGTTCTTTGGATATGATCTAAAGCAATGGTCCATCTAGCAGAGATACTGGTTCCAACCCAAGGGAATGTTTTTCTCTCTTTCTTTCACTACTACATTAAGTTATCTTTCTGAGTTGCTTTCCTCTTTGGCGGTGTCTTCAGGTATTTTATGCTGATCTTTGCACATTTCATACACTAGAACTAACCCGAAGGTTGTTTAAGATTCAGCCTCAATTTCTTCCTTTCGTTGTAAGTCAGCAGGTAAAATTGCTGTGCTCCTTTGCACCATACGATCATCTTTTTCCAGGAAACCGTTGGCTCACCAGGAGACCTCTTGCAAATGTTGAGAGTGCTTTGTTGGCTTGCCACATTAAAGCACTGAAGAGCATCAAATAACATTACTAATTTGCCTTTTTTCTTAGACAGCTACCATTTCACCTATTAGCCGGAAATTCCCAAGCTGTCCTTATTTAGTGTCTGTCATTGTAAATGTCCAACAAAATCTGATAAAGACCCAATCTGTCCACTTTTTTTTTTTTTTTAGATATTATGTCCAACAGAGTGAATAGCTTTTCCTACTCATAGAGGAAACTCACTAATATTAACTCCTCTGATTCTTTCTCAGCAGTCCCTTGTAGGCTGGAGCAGGGTCAACTTCTAGTAATTTTTGTATTTTCCCAATGCTTCTCAGCTAAGATAAATTTGCTACAGCTTTTCTTAAATGAAATATAATTCTCAAAGAACCTTTAAGAAAAAAGCACCACACAAGAGGAAATGTGCTCCTTACCTGATATACTGTTACGTTCCTTAGCTTTACTTTAAAAACTTAAATGACCTGTTTCAGAGCCCCTACTTGCTCCTTTAGTGTTCCCAAGGCTCTCTGGCTTCAGAGCTACACTGTATCTGAATAAAAGGATAGTTTTGGAGACAGGGGAATATTGTTAACAGAAATTTAAAAACAGGTTAAACCTTAAGCAAATAAACACTAATGAACTATAAAGACGTGAAATAGCCTCCAGAGAAGTAACGAATACTGAAATGTTGACTGGACACATTTCTCATGGTAAAACAGGAATATCTCTAATGCCAGAAAATAGTTTAAGAAGGAGCTATTTGCCAGAAGTAAGAGGAAGAACATTTTCATATGAACTGCTAGACCACCGTACAGTTCACTGTATAAAGACATTTTATACACAGGGCAAGATTAAGCGCTGGTAGATCACAATATTTCTATTAAAATATTTTCAAGAATTTCGGTTTACTCTGAGAGAGGATATGGCCTGCCTAACCCACGTCACCCAATGTCAGCTTACTTTTCTAAACTACTGTTCAACTGACACTGTAAACCTCATCTTGAAAAGATGCCAAAGATCATCTGCATTCTTGGCTGAGAAAGGTTTTGGGATGTATACTGGTTGGTTTTCACTTCACCAGATTGAGTGACCAACATGCAGATATTCGTAGGAAATTAGAAAACAAGGTCTTTATTGATTTCATGCTCAAGACGTCCATAAAACAATCATTTATGTAATCCAAATAATAACTGTAAATTTGACTTATGAAAAAATATATGCCTCATTATGCCACAGTATTTTTAAGAAAATAAACTTAATTTAGTAACTTGGCTTTAATAGTATGCACTTATTTTTTTAGAAGATTTCAAAATAAAGTGCATTAATTGGGAAAAGGGTGAACAACTAATCATTTATCAGTTTAACCAAATCATTAAACTTACTTTTTTGAGCTAGCTACCAACTTTAAAAAGAATACAAAAGCAGGAATATAAACATCACTGACTTAACGCCAAAATACAAAATCGAGACTGTACAGTAACTAAAAAGGCACTTCTGGTTTCTGATTCAAGTAAGTATTTCCAGTCTTGGCAAAATTCCTCACAAATAGGAGCTATATCAAAACATACATTTGTTACTGGAACATATAATTCTATCATTTCAACACTAAATTTTAATGTTTTATATCAAAGCCTTGGCATTAACTTTCTGTTCATTCAAAACTTCTGAATCAACAAGCAGGCATTTTTATTTCTGCAAGCAGAAAATCTGCAACACCACTGTTTCAGGCTGTTCCAACAGTTAATTGTCATTTGCAAGGCAAAAATCTTTACAATGGCACTTTAATAAGGCATCATCCAATTACAGTTTCCCAATCTTTCAAAGATTTTCATTTTTGATTTTTCTATTTGTTACATTCCCATGCTATTCAGGTAAATCAAATACAAGTATTGATTTTTTATTTATCCATCTTATTCTACAGTGATAACTAAGTAAATTGACTTCCAGATTAAGCACAGACCAACCATTAGTCTTCACTAATAATGTTCATAAAAAGGAAATTCATCTATTAGACTAAGAAACACCCTTTTAAATAGCTACAAACTGTTTCATCACTGGACATACCCATAATGTGATGATGGCCTTTGGAAATTTCCAAGGAAGTTATGGTTCTATGAGCTAGCAGTGAAAGAAAAGATGGAGTCTCAGGATTTAATTTTTTTGCACTTAATTTACAATCTGTTTTCTGGAATAAACTTTTATGGTCAAGTAGCTAACTCTCAGAACATCTTCAGTAGCCATAAATCATAACAGCCACACTAAGGGAAATCAAGATACAGTAATTAGTATTAGCTGTCGGGTTGGCCCACAGCATTTATTTCTTCTTTAAAATCTTGCATATTGTCTGTCCATCAGATACCCCAGCTTACACAATATAAAAATCTAGTGTAATTACATTTCTGTTATTAAAAATGTGTTACTCCAGTTTATAATCAAATCTCCACCCAAAACCATATCCTGATCTTTCATCACTGGCTGCATTAAAATATATTTCAGAAGTAAAGTTCCTTAGTAAGCATGGAGACCACGCAGGGAATCTGCTTCTTCTCACTGAAGCGTGGATCATCAGACTGTGATTCAAAATTTGTGGCAACCACATAGTTGACCCGTGTGAGGATCTGCATGATCTCAAGTTGTTTTCCATGCTCATTTAGCACAGAACACAGAGACTGCACAAACCAGGAGCCTCTTCCAGGATTCCTCCAGGAGTAATAACCTTACAAGAAAGACAGATAAGAAAGTACATGGGGTTATTTTTCGTTTTTTCTTATTATCTTGTGCTGAAGAACAGAATGGCAGAGAGATATGTACTAATTTGTGTGAAGGATTCTGGGCAAAGAGTAACACTGCACACACAGAAAGTCTAATTCTTATCACTTGTGTCACATATCCTACTTCATTAAAGTGGAGAATAATGTGTATTAACTCTCCAAACCTCACACTACCAAAGTGCCATACTATATTTTTGCATTTGGGAAACTGCAAGAAGTAAGATTTCATGTTTTTCCTCTCTAAGAATACGTTTCATGCTGTAACTGTTCCCCTTCCTGCCTTCATTACATATTCAACATACTCACCAAACTGGGACGTGGAAGGGCAAGATTCCCAGAAAACAGTACTGCCTTTGCCATCTGTAATGTCTGTGTCTCCTCACCTGCAAATCTGGGCTTTCTCCTGTTTCTGCTGTAACTAGTGTGAAAGGGGTGGATACAACACCCTGGCCCAACATACACTGGGCCTTAGGGTTCTGTCCATCAATGTACAATGTATCATCAATGAGGGTCAGTCTTCAATCAAGTCAATACGGGTGGCAAGTTTTTAGGCTTTTATCCCCACCCTCACCCCCTTTTCTTTACCTGGCACTGTGGAATATGCAAACAGAAAATCTGCTTCTACTGGGATTTTGTATCTCGGATTGGCATCTGTTTCCAGAGTGTCATTTGCAGGTCCAGAGTCAGTTTGTATACCTTCATCAAATTCAGAGCCTCTGCATGCCTGAAAGCAGTGAAGATAAAGAGAACTTGTCCAATAAGGAGAATCAAGGTGTTGTAAAAATAAGTTTTCATTAACATTTTTTAATGGATACAGTTTTAAGCAGTACTTTGTATGTATTAGAAGCAGAAATGCAATTCTGGGGCACACCTAATTGTTCAGTGAAAAAGTTACTAGCTTACCCATTTTAAAATATACATCCTGTACAGTAAAGGGAGGTAATGCTGTTGCAGGCTGTGGATCTCAGTGGATTGTCAAAGTGCCAAGTCAGCATTAGCTTATTCTAATCATGATTAATTTTACTAGTCTAGAGTCATCCTCAGCACTCAATTATTACATTATGTCTTGTGCAGTGTCACTTCCGGACATCTTCTTTATAGGGGACTACACATTGTTTTTTGTTCCTGGCACGCACTGCTGTAGCACTACATTTCATAGAACAACAAAGTCACATCCTGAGATCATCTAGTCCAACCCCCCTTCTCAAGCCGGGACAGCTACAGCAGATGTCCAGGACCGTGTCCAGTTGGGTTTGGAATATCTCCACAGATGGAGACTGTACAACCCGGGCAACCTGTCCCAGTGTCTGACCACCCATTTCAAGTATATTGCATTTTTAACATTTTTTCATTTTTCTCTTTTATTCTTAATTTCCTTTTCATTATGTGGTTTAGCTAAAGGGCACACTGGGACCACAGTCCAAGTTGGCACTTTTCAGCTCTTGATCAGTAACTTTGACTGACAGCTCTTGTAAAAAAATAGCAGTCTGATGGGCTTATATAACATGAGTTGGTTGCCTTTGTTAAGATAATTTTAAAGGCAACAAAGTACCCATTCCAAACTTATAATTAAAAGAAACATCACTTTAGTAGTATGAAGAGTCTAAAATATACAGTTTTCACTTTGAGGTTGAGGATTAATTGACAGAACAGCCTAGGGAAACCCACATCTGCTCCAACTCCCATACCTACATAATACTATGAAAGAAAAGAGAAATCAGACCCATGGTATGTCAGTTAATACTGTTTGAAACAGCTGTCTTTAAAAGCTTAAGTAATATACCATTAATTATATGCTAATACAATCATGCAATATAAATTTTTAGGTTACTGAGGGAGAGAAAAAATATTTATTTTAGCAGAATGCAGTAATTTGTAGAGACAACCTTTATTCAAAGAGACCTGGACAGTATTATTTCTATTGATAAGCACGTACTGTCCTCAGCTCTGTCTGCACAAGAGGGAGTTTATCTTTCCGCTCTAAAGTTTGTATGTTACCAAGCACAAAGAGAAACCATGTACAAAATTACAATAACAATATGCTGTTTACATCTGTGAATTTTGTATAGAAATTATCTTTTAAAAACAGACAATACAAGTCACCCACAGTCAACTTCTTTTCAACAGATTTTTTCACAAAACCCCTAGAAAAATTCCATAAGGCTCTTCTAGAGCAGAAAACCAACATAGCGTGTTTTCCCCACTGCAGCAGTAGGATACTGTATTTACCTTAGGGCTATTACCTGAATGAAAAATAATTTGGGTTTGCCTATAAGGCTTTTACACTTGTCTCCTCTGAATAGCGCAGTCAAACTCTTGATAGCCATGGGTCCATCAGTGCCATAGATGAGGCCTTCTTCCCCATGGCTTAGAAGGATACAGGCAAAACAAGCAGCATCACTGTGATTCTCCTCTGCAGCTACAAATCAAATACTTCTTAGCCAAAAGGAAGCAACATTTTAAATTAAAATTATATTTAGCAAACACATTTTTCTGAGACTAAATATACATTGGGCCTCTACTGGAAGGCATAAGAAAGAGTGATAAAGATGACACGACCCACTTTTTATGTGATAAGTAACTTGAATACACGAACACATCCTTCACTTGACTCCGAGACTAGCCCACTGGAGTCAACAGGCTGGACTCTTTATCTAACATGACAAGGCTCTTCACCTAATACATAGGAGAGGCGCTTCACATAATATGACAAGAAAACTGTATTTCTGAATTGACGTTGGAGGAAGAGGTAGGGAAATTAAGCCTAATCCATTCAGAAACTGAATCCTTCTATATAGAAGATTCCATGTAGTGGGGCCTAAGCAATCTGTTCTAATTTGACCTGCTTGGAGCAGGGGGTAGATTCAGTCACTTCCAGAGGTCTTTTCCACTCTAAATTATTTTATGATTCTAAATTTTTACCTTGCTTCAGTAATTTTTCCATATCATCACGGCTTCGGTCATTGTATGTGCAAACATCAAAACCTAAGCTTTCAAAACTCTTAGCTAGATCTCCGGCATCTTTATCAGTGCCATTGCGTGTACCCATTCCTGTGAGAAAACAAAAAATAAGGTTGATTGCACATTACACAATTTAAAATAATTCATGTGTTCAAAGGTAAATTTTTATGTTTATACTTACTAAACCTAAACAATGTCATGGTGACATGATTTTAAAACAGTCCTCTAACAGCATTCTCAGCATTGAGAACAAATTGTGAGATTTGTTTTAATGCAAAATAATGAAAGGTTCAATGTTAAAATGTATCTTATCCTGAAAAATGTTGGCATACCTTCAGCACCTTGCAACACACAACCTCTATGGATGGTTCGATCTCCTTTTGATTACGCAGTATAACGTATGCATAAAGCACCCCAAGGAAAAACTGTTGAAAAGAGTCCCTACCTTCTATGTGAGATACCCGCATAAAAGAAACTGATGTAAATTCTTTGGAGTAAACACTTCATTTAGTGTGCTTGCCAAGTGTATAAGAAAAGACCTATAAAGTTGACTATAACACAAGTATCTGTCTGCTTTGAAACTGTACATGGTCTGAAAAGTTAAATGCTGGAGTGTGAACAGAGCACAGCTATGGCTATTAGCTTTTGTAGGGACAGAGAAGCTATAACATGGGCTGCAGATGCCAAAATTCAAATTTTAACAAAACAGCCTTGAACTCTGGGACAAAGGTTTAGTCTGAAGTTGGTAGAGCAAGGTGACATGCTCTTTGAAACATATAATGCAAAGAGCTGCTCTAGTATAAGTGTTAAAGAACAGGAATAAGTTGTAGGAACAACTATTTATCAGAAAAAAAAAATTCATTAAAATTCCATGTCCTAAAAAATGAAATGCTTATTGATTAATGAAAGTATAAATACTCTAAAGTCTGTAATGAGTATCATCAAAGGAAGAACATTACCTGTTTTGTCTTCAAAGTTTTTGTTGTTTATAATAATACATTTGCCAACTTTCTTGTAGTCCATATTGTACTGGAATGTGGGTGTAACAATTCGGTACTGATTACTGAGAGAGGACTTTGGCTGTTCTTCTTCTCCATTCTTCTTTTTTCTAGGTGAACCAAAAGAAATTATTGTTAGTGGTCAGTCACATGCAGTGTACCTATTTGTCTTAAGTCAAACAATTTGAGCAGTCCTACCTAATGATTTTTCTTGTCTAATATTTTCTTCCTTCATATTTCAGATTGAGGCATAAAGATCTCATGATTTCTATGACGTGATTATTGTGTGCAATAGGATTCTGATGATGGTAAAATGACTCTAGAGTGAACTGCAGCCAACAGTAGTATAAACAGATTCTGATCGACAGATAAAACAAATGGCCTAAACATGAAGTCAGGCTCACACTTACCTTTCGTAAACTATGATTCTGGACATATTTTACTTTTACTATAAATAATTCATGGAAGGACAGACAGATCTCCCTTAATAACTATTCCAAGCACAAGAAGATATGCAGTTTATCCATTGGTGTGATAGGATTTGTTTATTGAATCACCATCATCCCTAAATTCTCTGAAGATTAAGACTGAGCAGTAGGTAGTTTCTACTGATAAAGGTTATAGATGTGAACAGGTCATGTGCTAATTTGGTCTGCCAAACAGCAGTCTGAACCTATGCAAAAAACTAAGCACATTTTAGTGTAATCATCGATCCCTGCACCTCACTTCAAAACAAAACGAGCTATAAATTTTCTCTGTAATCTGTTAGATTGGATTAGGAAGAGATGCAAAGGGACAGCACAGACATTACTCACCAATTTATTCTAAACAAAGTATTAAGAACAAATCAATTACAGCCAGCACGCACACCTGAAGTATAAGCATGAGGAACTCAGCGGTACTTGCTTTTACAGGTGAACTTTTTGGCCCAAGCAGGTGGCTTCAGATGTTAGTAAAATCTCCTCAAGCAGAACTGAATCTACTGAGAGCCTATAAAGGGTCTGATTCCACCTCAGAACTATAAACAGGCTTTGGAGCAAGCTCAGTTAGAAACAATGTGCAGGAAAAGGTTGAAGTTATCAGCACCTCTCTTATTTAATCTGGTCCAGCATCCTGCCTCCAATAGTATTTATTGCTGATGTCTGAAAGGAAAACATAACCTACTTTCCCAGCACAAATAACTGTATAGCAGTTTGTTTCTAACAAAATTAGATTTTTCCGATAATCTCAATTAATTTAAGTACTTTCACTATTCTCACTCTGACATATTTCTAAAGAATTACTAAGTTATTTGCTTCAGTAATAGCCTGTACACAAGAGATTGCTATGAATTGATTAAATGTTGTTTAGGTAATCTACTTTCTCACCTTCCCCATTTAACAATTGTTGTCTTTTAGCTTTAAGTGTCCTCTTTTTATTCCTAAAGGACAAGACTAATTGGAAACTTTAACAAACCTTCTCTAGATGATTCATCGTGTTTAAATGCTACTGTAATTCAATTTTAAACCAGCTTCTTACCTTTGAGAGTCCTCATGTCTTGTTATAAAGGGTCAAATTAAATAGCTGCACTTGGCAGGCTTTCTCTGTACTCTTTTTAAATGTGCTCATCCTAATATCATCTCCTCTCTTAGACTTCTCCTAGAGACTACAAAACTTGAGGATTTTGTCTGATACTCTGGACGTCCTGTTTTTTCTTGCAAATCACAAGTATTGGTATTCTCCTTGCATACTACTTTTTGAGGGCTCTGTGAGCAATAATAAAATATGCTTTGCCTCAAGAAAAGATTTTCACCATTTTAAAGAATTATCCACAGCTCTATGATGTTAATTTGATGTACATTTGACTTTCAAAGAGATCTTGGATTCTTATTTTAGCCTAAAATTCCCCCTGGTCCTACATCACTAGACAGCTCTCTGGTAAAGACAGAAGAAGAAATTTCAAACCAAGAAATAACCACTCAGTTTGATGAAGAGGCTAATTTCCTCAGTCCACACTGGATTCAAGTTTCAACAGATTTATCTAGATTCACTGACTTCCTGAAAAAGCTGTATGACTAATTGTAGCTGTTACACACAATAGGCTATTTTCAAGTGGATTGTACACAAATTTCTGTTTATGTCCAACCCTTGAACAGTTGTGAACACTCAGGACAGATCCATGTGAGCAGTACGGTACCATGTTTGCACTGCCTGCTCTCTCAAAATGCTGGAAGTGATCTAATTCTAGTCCAGAAATCATGCAGCCATGTTATCCCACAAAAAGCCTCACCGAAAATAGCAGCTGGGATTAAGTGACATAACAACGTAGCCACGCAGCTTCTCTGAAAGCACTTCACTTCCGTGTTCAATAGTTTGCATTCATTCATGCAGAAACACTTGGGAGTTTAAGGGGTGTACTGGTATTTCCAAAAGTACTCCAGAAGCTCTTTGCCAGTCAATGTCAAACACCACAGACAAGTCTCATCAGCACGGTAGCACACAAAACTAGCATTTCCCCATGCCTTTAGAGAGGACAGTATGGTTTTGTTCTAATGATTCCTTCCAAGCTGAACAGGTTAGCAAGATACTAAGCAACAATAGCATGCTTTGTAGGGTTACGCCTATCATTGCTTTACTGGCAGACAACAAAAAGTTCCAGAAATCTTTTGGTATCTGTCCAAACTGAACAAATAAGGAAACAAAGGTTGTGGAATATACACATCCTGGGCCTGCAGTCCAGAGAGAAATTGTTTTTTGAAGATTTTGTTTTCTGTGCCAACATCGTGCAATATGGGAATTGCCTGGCTGGATCAAACTGACAGTGTAAGATCCAAGTCTTCAGTTTCAACAAGCTAAATCAGACCTTGTAATAATGACTAATAAGGTAATAAATACGTAATAATCACTCCTTATGAGAAATGCCCTGTCAGTGACAGGCTGGCTTATGACTGAAAGCCTAAAGCTTTCCTGCTAAATTTTATATTCTAAGCTTTGAACTGGACACATGTTAACATAAATGTTTACTGCTGTTCTTCTTACTAAGCTTTTTAATCACTGTATTATCCAAAAGGGTTTCCACAGGTTAGTAATGTGCTGTTATAAAATGTTTTAAACTATTTGCCCTCAGTTTTATTTCATTCTGCTTCTCTGACATCCAGTGTCTTTAATTTCCCTCTTTTGGGACCCAAACTTGCCCAGACTAAATAGAAACTTGAATTTTATGACTGTTTACTCTTTCCTCAGCTTTTCATTACAACTATGCCGTAACCCCTCACTCTGCTAATGGTCAATGATCTTTCTCTTAGACAGAAATATTCTTCATATCAGTGCTCTCACATATTTCATGTTCTCTCCCTTTGGTCAAGAGTTCAGCAAAATTGAAGCTCCACTCTGGCACCCTCATTTAGCTTGCACATTTTCACCCTTACTGTGTCTCTAAATTCAGGCCTTAGGCTTGACAACAGTATGTCTGGGAATGTGATTTCATTGTCTAGACTTAATTGGTGTCAACCCTGGGAAAATCATTATTATCAACTTCTCACTTTTCAAATATAAAGTTACCCATACCATTTATCATTTTGTTATTGAACTTTTAAATAGTAAAGGCTGAATTTCTTATCACCATGAGTGGCTAAAATTCTGTCAAAGTCAATGGAGATACATCACTTGCACCAGTAGTGAACTTGATTGTCTAAAGGACTGCTACTTAGCACAACTTTTTTTTGTGTTACACTTTGGGTAAATTATTATTTTGGTATGTATATATATCAAGATTTAAGGATAAAAATATCACTGTTAACATTTAACTATACCTAAAAATTATTTTCAATAATAATTTTACTGAAAGCAGTGTCTCTTAGCAGCCTCTCCTTTGGCTTCCTTTCTACTGGCATCTTCCTGCACTTTCTTTGCTACTGTATATGAGTATGACAAACCAACACACTAAGAATCCATGTGCAGGAGAATGGCTTCCTTGAGTGCTGCAGTCTCTCACTGTCTCTCCCACCTGCTAAAGCCAAGCTCTTGGGCTCAGGTCTGCCAGCCCTCCAGAGGAACAAGTGTTTCAGCGAGAACCAGCTGCTTAACTTCAAATGTAGTGTGATTTATTTCCACAGGGAGGGTCTTCACTTTCCATCACATTGCATAATTAATGTCAGTTGTGTAGGCTGGTATTGCCTACCTTTGTGCAGGGTATAAAGGCCAGGGACTGTAAAAAAAAAAAAATGCTTTAAGAAAGCTGGTCCGCTCTAACTATATAGACTCCCCTCGGAACAGTATCAGCGTAATGCAGGGAAAGTTCTCCAGAGCAGAGTGGATGAAAGGGAAACATTAAGAAGAAAGTGCAATCTCTAGGGTAGAAACTGTTACACCAATCCATTTACTAAATTTCAACATTAACAATGATTAAAAAGAGGATGATAGTAACCGACAGACAATAGAGCTCTTTTGAAAACATGAGCTGCTTGGCCTTAAAAGCAACGTGACATTTAGCACTCAGAAGAAACAGGTCTCCCTGGAAAAGAACAGTCACTTACATAGCCTTATGGGCAGAGGAACAGATGAATAAAGACAAATCTCACAATCATCACTTCCCAGTCACAGGATGGGAAGAGTTTCCTGTTTGTTTTTTTCTTGTTTGTTTGTTTTTCTAAGAGGAAATTAATATGTTAATCAAAATGAACTCTAAAGAGGATATTACAGAGGGATATCCAGGCTTTGAAAACAGCTATAGTCGCTTTCTCTCCCAGGAAAGTTGGGGACTTTTGTTGCTGTACTGAAAAATACAAGCAGATAAAAAAAAATCTACAATTACAATACTATTCAATTTAAGGAAGTTGACATTCAGAGGTGAGAGGAAAAAGACTAAACTGATTACATTAATTTCTGTTTGAAGTACACATACACAAAAGAAGAGAAATCTGTCTTGCTCTATGAAGTTCAGTACATTTGGGCTTTACTTGATAAGAATATCACAGAACATTGTGACAGTTTTTACTCTGGCATGCTTCTTTAACACAATGTGCAATCATATATGATTTTTGAATGACTGATAACAGGTTTGTGTTAAAAAGAAAATTTGCCTTTAAAAATATCCTATCTTTACAGAACACATCACCTCAGGATCACTTCT